CTGCGCGGTGTTATGGCCCACGTGTTTCTGATTCACTGCTCTTTTCACTCAGTTCATTCTCTTGGTCTCCTTTTCAGCTGATTAGTAGAGCATGGCGCTAAAAATAAAACCAAGGTCATGGGTTTGACTCCCATACCCTGAGGAAACTGAGGGTTTAAGGCTTCGAATTGCTGCATTTTTACAGTCTCCTTGCAGAGACTAGTCCCTTCTCTGCCCAGCTAGCAATGGCTTCTCTGTAAAAACCTTATTCCAGCAAGTCCAGAATTCATCAGTTTTTTTTCTTGTCTGTGGAATGTTTTTCCAAGCCTGTTATCTAGTGGTGAAAGCGTATTCATCGCTTCAGGTACAGGTGAGATACCACATTCCACAGAAAGCCTTCCCTGATCTCCACCACCTCACGAGGCATTTTCCTCCTTTGATCTCTTTCTGCACTGCGTGTCACTTCATGAAAGCTGTCACATATGCCACTTGCAATCACATCTTTTATCTTGTACTATATTATTTATGTATATTTATGTCACTTGAGATTTCATATTTTATCTTCTAATATGTCTTCTAATATATTACTTTTTGTATTTCCCACACTACTGACATGTTGCTTTATGAAAATTAGAGGCTCCAAAAGAAATTACTGGTCAGGTGCAATGGCTGACTCCTGTAATCCCTGCACTTTGGGAGGCCGAGGTGGGTGGATCACCTGACTAAAGTCAAGAGTTTGACACCAGCCTGGCCAACATGATGAAACCCCATCTCTACTAAAAATACAAAAATTAGCTGGGTGTGGTGGTGCACACCTGTAATCCCAGCTATTCAGGAGGCTGAGGCAGGAGAATTGCTTGAACTTGGGAGGAAGAGGTTGCAGTGAGCCGAGATCATGCCACTGCACTCCAGCCTAGGCAACAAGAGTAAAGCTCTGTCAAGAAAGAGAGAAAGAGAGAGAGAGATTATTGCTTATATTAATACATTAGTTAACAAATTCATTGATGTTGAGAGAGATTGACCTGGTTCAGCTCTTGAAAAACCAATTAAGTAACACATTAATGTAGCAATAGGTCTGTATGTAAAGGAAAGGGCTCTTTTTATTTTCCTTTTTCCTTAAATGACAGTTGCCGTGTGTACTCTGGACTGAGGGCTAATGAATTACCATGCTGATTACAGCAAACAAAGTCAGGAATAAAATATGAACACCCGCTATTCATACTTATGCCTTGATTTATCCTTAGCACATGCAGCATGCAAAGAACGAGTGGCAAGCTGGCTATTTTACATTTCAGACCCGTATTTTCTCTCTCTCTGGAGAGGAATAGAGGGAATTCTCTAGGAAGGAGGGCAGTTTGTATGGCAGACGACTGCATTACACTGAAAGAACACAAGAGGGAGCCCGTTTTCAACTCAGACGTAGGAGAAAAAAAAGTCTGTCCTTAGTTTGAAAAGGCTGAGTTCCCTAACACTTTTGAGGGATTCACATTTCGCCTTTTTAAATTAAAAAAAAAAAAAGGAAAATAAAAATTAACAGTGATATTATGATATATAGTGAGTTTTGAAGAAGTATGTTTAGCTTATATCTAATAAAAATATTTTCCTTAAATTTTGTTTTTCCTTTTTTATGCTAGAAGCAACAAACAGAATCCATTTTGTTTAGCAGTACATATGTATCTGTACCTACAAGTATGAATTTGCCCTGTGTTTGCGATCTGGCAGTTCATGTGGTTTGCTGTGTGCATTATGATTTGAGGGAAATTCAGGGAATTTCAAGGGAAATTCAGGGAGATCTGAATTTAATATTATTTACCCCATTGCCTGACTTGAGATGACTAATCACGTTCTCCCTTTTCTCAGTTTGCATAATCAGAAGGTCAAATTGGATGATTTCAAAGGTTCTTTTCAGATTAGTTTACTGCATCTGTGAACTAGGACTGTTTTATTAAATCTTTAATAAATATTTAGGATTTTTAGAATATGGCTATCAAATGGATATAGCTTAGTTTACTTAGTAAAAGAGTCAGAAGAAAATTACATATGTTGAAGATACAATGTTTTAGCAACCAGGAGGGAGTATATAGGTATGTGGTGAACTTTGAGGTCAAAATATTTTTGTGTGTTTTCTAAACAAATATATTACTCAACTGGTCTTGAGGTGATTCATTTTTGGTTGCTGGGTTAGTTTTATAAATACATGAAAACATTGCTTGATCTTTCTTTTTGATTAGAGTCTTGGGTTAAATGACCCAAGGAAACGATCGTTTCTTCTTCTTTTTTTAAATTTTTTATTTTTGGTAAGGAGGTCATAATGGCTAGGTTTTGTCGTCGTTGTTGTTGTTAGCAGTATTTTTTAAATGTCTGTATTTAGAGGAGTAAACACAGCTTCACTAGAGTAAGATACTGTTTAAAGCTCTTACATAATGACTGTCTGAACTGTCTAAACCGCTCACCACACTGCTGGGCTGAATGGCTTTGCTCGTGTCTTCGGCCCGTGGGCGTGGCCGTCACGCTAGCTCTTGCACTTGCGCTGCGCCTCGGTTTGCAGCAGACACGCTTCTTATTTTCGGGAGGAAAGTAACAGAAACGCAGTGGCTTTAGTAGTTTTGGGAAAGGAAAGGCGAAAGGAGAATCTGGGGACCACATGAGTGTAGCGCGTTGGTGATGTTATTGAAAGAGGAAAGTCGGCCGGGCGCGGTGGCTCACGCCTATAATCCCAGCGCTTTGGGAGGCCGAGGCAGGCGGATCACAAGGTCAAGAGGTTGAGACCATCCTGGTCAACATGGTGAAACCCCGTCTCTACTAAAAATACAAAAATTAGCTGGGCATGGTGGTGCGCGCCTGTAGTCCCAGCTACTCGGGAGGCTGAGGCAGGAGAATTACTTGAAACCAGGAGACAGAGGTTGTAGTGAGCCGAGATCGCGCCATTGCACTCCAGCCTGGGTAATAAGAGCGAAACTCCATCTCAAAAAGAAAAAGAAAAAAAAAAAAAGGTGGGTGAAAAATTACATATGGAAAATAATGTAAAGTATGTAACCATCATGTAAACAATTTGGAGCAGATAGTTAATCTAAGGCTTAACTGTACACTTCCTCCTTTCATTCACTCATTGCCCACTTGAGCACCTTCTATGTGTCAGACACTTTACCAGGCCCTTGATATTGACATTGAATTTGACTTGTTTCATGGGGCATCTGAATAGGAAAGTAAACAGGTAAACACATTAAACTGGAAAAGAATAAGCATATACCAGAGAGAGTGGGGCACACTTGAGGCCTACTGGTTTTTCAGGCAGGTTTAGGCAGGAATGGCATTGCAGGCAAAAGAAGATGTTTTGCAAGCACGCAGGGATAACAATGGCACAGCGTGTTCAGGGAACTAAAAGTTGTTTGGAATTGTTGAAGATCAAAGTTCAAGGGAAGGAGTGGAAGGGGGTGAGGCTGGAGAATCAGGGCTGGGTCAAACCGTAGGAAGCTTTGTAAGCCATGTTAAAAATGTGTGTCAGTTTATGTTAACAGTGACACGTCTCCCGTGGGGAAAATGTGTCTTATATGGGGGGAAAGAATGGTGAGACGAACACTGGAGAAGCTCTGGGAGATGGATGTGAGTGGGATAAGAATGAAGGTATGGAGACCAGATAGGATGCTCTAGACCAGAACTGATGAGGGGTGATTGAGAATAAGTTTTCTATAAGAGCAAGCTGCACCCCACCTACATTTACTGTCTTGATTTTGCACCAATATACTACTTATCACAGTGATCTTACATTCTGAGTTTGAGAATATTTTCCTAATTTTGAATGCCTTTTCACTCCCCATTTTGTCCTCTTATCTGGTAAGAGAGGCAAAAAGCCATCACTAAGCCCCTTTTCCATATGGGGAGACTAAGCAGAGAGTCGGGGGTGACACTGGGATTAAAACTTGCACTATTGCCTCTGAATTTGTATCATTTTTTTTCTTTTTCTTTAATTTTTTTAGAAGCCCCTCTCCCAAGCTGCCAAAGAAAGATGTTATGTTGAAGTAAGGCAGGGGCCAAAATGCCATTCATATGGTTGCTTAAAAAACAAACAAAAATCAAGAAAGTGAATTTCGCTGGGCGAAAACCTCAGCTGCCAAACACATACACACGTGTACATATATGTGCACGTGTGTATGTGTGTACATATATGCACACGTGTGTACGTGTATATATATGTGCATGTGTATATGTGTGTGTGTGTGTGCATTTAGGTGTGTGCTTTCTTTTTTCTTTTCTTTCTTTCTTTCTTTCTTTTTTTTTTTGAGATGGAGTCTTGCTCTGTTGCCCAGGCTGGAGTGCAGTGGTGCAATCTTGGCTCACTGCAACATCTGCCTCCCAGGTTCAAGAATTCTCCAGCCTCAGCCTTTCAAGCAGCTGGGATTACAGGTGCACGCCACCATGCCCAGCTAATTTTTATATTCTTAGTAGAGACAGGGTTTCAGCATATTGCCCAAGTTGGTCTTGAACTCCTGGCCTCAAGTGATCTGCCTGCCTCGGCCTCCAAAAGTGCTGGAATTACAGGCCACTGAGCCCGGCTGGTTATGTGCTTTCTGATACAGGTGAATATGGGTGTACATGGTCTAACGTTGTTCTTGATTTTCTTCATGCATGGATTAGGAAAAAACACTGTAGAGTAAGTTCAGAGGCACCTAGTCTCTTGGAAATGGAGTTCTGTAGGTAGCTTTCAAATGAAAAGCACTGAACAAAAACTGTTATTGCCACCCATGTGTTTCTCTACTGCTGGCTGACAGAGTCTAACCACCAGTCCTATTACCCAGAAAGAACAGTCCTATTACATTTCCTTAAAGGCCAAATTTGTCCATGGGGATTTTTTTTAACTTTTCTTCGTGTGTGTGCAAAACCTGCCCAACCTGAAATGTCTTTGTTAGTGTTAGCGCCTGGTGACAATTATACATTTTTCTCTTATTATTGGATATGAAGAGGCAGGTTGTATAACCAGGCATCGTTTTCCTTGCTAAAAATAACCTAATCTCCCTTACCAGGTCTTTGGGCACTCAACAAGGAAATTTCTACTTTGGTAAGTTTGCTTTTTGCTTATCTGAAGTCATGTTCCTGAAAGGGTCATCAGTCATGAGGATTCTGACACTGAGTGCTAGCAGTATCTGCAACCACATAGGTCAAGAAATAAAAATTCTCTGGAAAAACTAATAAATGCCTTACAAGCTTCCCAGATGTCTCAGTGTGCCATGTAATAACCAGCACCAACTGCTTTGACCTCCTGATTGAATCAGCTGTTGAGCCCCTGCTAATGTATGTTGGAATTATCTCAGAAATGCCACAGAGAAAAACAGGGACTGTCCTGGAGGTGTGCTGAATGTAGTCTCTCTTTCTCTCTTTATTCTAACTACAGTTAGATCAGAAAATAGTTTATTTATCTGATGAAGGTGGACCTGGCTTAGAAACACATGCTATACTGACTTAAAAATGTGGAAGGCATGATTTCTCTAGTGGTAAAAATATGCAGGGGAACCACAGCTGTGAAGCGTGGGGATGAAGATTTAAGGGAAGGGTTATTCTTGCCCTGGCTCCTTGTTCTCTTGTGTCTGCTTTAGCATCTCTGCACTTTTAGGACCCTTTTTACACCAAGATCAGAATTAATGGAGCTGTTTGCTCGAGCTCAATTATAGAGTGCTCACCTGAGAAAGTGTAAGGAACAGAACTGTAAATCTTATAATCAAATATTGAATTATGTCTAATTTATTTACTTAGGGAATTGAGAGCCCTGAGTTCTACCATCAAATGTGTAAAGATTTATGTTGAAAGGACACTTTTAGGAGCAAGAGGAACAAAGCTAGTAGTGGTTTTTCTACAGTAGAAATGTCTCCTAAATAGCAGAGTTGTTGAAGGCTAAACCTAATTTAGAAAGTAGAAGCGAAGCTGCCTCTCTATGCCAGCCTATGGGACACTGCAGCAAAATCACCTTCAAAAGTTATTGCCAACACTCTCTGGCCACCTGTCAAAAATGAAATGAGAACATGCATCTTTTCCTCATATGTAGAAACCACATAAAGCCGGCCAGAGACTACTATAGCATTGGTTTTTCTCTCTGACCTTCCCGTGTTAAAGGAACATAGAAATTATCCAAGACAGTATTTTCAACTACGTGTCATGGGCCTTTGAGATGATGTAGCCTTGATAAGCTTACCATATGGCTTTGAAATTGTTTCTTACCGTCCATGTTTTATAATCTTCTAATAGAGCAGAAAATTCTGACAACTGTATATTTGCTTCTTCTTGTTTCTTTAAAGGTACAGAATTACAGAGAGTGCTGGATTGGCTTTTGCAGAGGATCAATGATTAGAGAATCAAAGGTATTCCACATGCACTGTACCATAAATTTCACTCCTACAACATCTTGAATTTAAAAAGCCAGACCATATAAAATGTTCACCAACAAGAACTATACCAAGCTACTCCTTAGATTGTTAGAGGTGATTTATTATATAAAATATTAAATGTAGCAGTTAAATGTCTTAGTGACAAACAGTGGAGCCTCAGTTTACAGAATATAAACAAGAAGCAGTTGCTATGAATCTTGTACTTGTAAAATAAAACCGAAGTTATGATTGACAGATGAAGGTGAAGTTGTGTTTCTGAATCACCAGTGAGACTTCCTCACTGCTGGTGGTCCAGCATCTTAGCAGGGAGGGGAGGGATTGGAGGATGTGCCAAGACGGAGGCCATATAGTTAGAGAAAGTCCCACAGCTTATGCAGATGTGAACACCTACCCCCAAACCCACACATTTGAAACTTCAGTAATTTATATCAGTGGTTTCTCTGATGTCATTTCCCAAGGGACACTTGACAATGTCTGGAGACATTTTTGGTTGTCACATCTGCAGGAGGTTTGAGTGGGAGTGCAACTGGCGTTTATTGGACGGTGGGTAGGGATGCTGCTAAGCCCTCGCTCAAGACAGCTTCCACAACAAAGAATTATCTGGCCAAAACGCCAATAGTGCTGAGGCTGAGAAATCTGATTTAAAGAAACTTCAGATCAAGGGTTGGCAGGCCACCATCTGTGGGCTAAGGTCCATTGCATATTTTTATAAATAAAGTTTTATTGGAACACAACCTTATACATTCATTTTTGTATTGTCTGTGACTATTTTCGTGCTACAAAGACACAGTGGAGTAGTTGTGACAAAGATTATGTGATCTGCAAAGTCTAAGATATTTATTATTTTGCCCTTTACAATCAAGCATTTTGTAATGTAAATAACCATTTAATTTTCAGATAGATGTAAATGAGAATTAGGTGATTATTAGACAATTAAATAGTTCTGGATTGTCTATCTGTGAGTCATTTTTAATTCTTAACTTTCTTCTCTCAAAATTTGTTCTACTCAAAAATCATAATAATATTCAATGAAGTCTATAGGCAAGAGGTCCTGTGGTTCTAGGTAGGGTGGGGCCTCAATTGTGTATAATTTTACATGATTTCTTTACGAAAAAAATTATGGGCTAGGTGAAAAAATTTATAGGCTCACGCCTGTAATCTCAACTTTGAGAGGCTAAGGTGGATGGACCACCAGGCCAGGAGATCGAGACCATTCTGGCCAACATGGTGAAACCCAGTCTATACTAAAAATACAAAAATTAGCGGGGCGTGGTGGTGGGCCGGGCACCTGTAATCCCAGCTACTTGGGAGGCTGAGGCAGTAGAATAGCTTGAACCCCGGAAGTGGATGTTGCAGTGAGTTGAGATCGTGCCACTGCACTCCAGCCTGGTGACAGAGCACGACTCCGTCTCAGAAACAAAACCAAATAAGGTATAAGGATAAAACTAGGTATAACATTGCATGTTTGCTTATGAAGAGGAAATAAATCTCAATAAATTATTGGAGGCTTGCATATTCAAGTCCCTTTCTTCCAACACCTGTTGAGTCAGTTTTCCAAAAGTGCTTGCCTAAAGCTGCTTCCTGATTGCATCCTGGCATACTTGCTTCTAGAACACCACATCACAGTAATTCTGAGCACCTACAGGGGCTGGTGCAACTCTGGGGCTTTGAGTTATTGACCCGCTTCCTTGTATATTCAGCTCTGCATAAATGCGTCTGGCAGAACATTTTTTCCAATGATTAACCAGCATCTGAAAGCCTGGGCTTTGATTCTGACTTTCTGCTCATTCGCTGTGTGATCTTGAGCAAATGAGGCCATCTCTGTGTCTGACTTTACTATAAAGTGAGAATGTAGGCTGTTCCTTTAAGTGTCTAATCTCTATAAGCCACTGCTCAATTTTCTTTCATTTCAAATATTTGACTTCTCTTGGATTTGTCTTAGAAAGTTTTTATTATCTGTTATATTGCCATTTTCCCCCTAGTTAAAGGAAAATTGGTATCTTAAGACCAATATTCTTATTCAGTTTCAGCTCTATTCTAGACCTAGACATTTAAATAGTCCTGAATTGTCTGTCTATGAATCATTACTATTCCTTAAGGTTTCTCTCTTACAATTTATTCTACTAAGCCTGCTCCATCAAAACCTATATTTTCTTCTTTGTGGCTTATTTTTTATGCTTAGAAATATGCTTGAAGCCCTTTATGTAAGAAAATCAAATAATTCAGCTGTGAGAATCTAAGAAAAATATTTTCTTTCTCTTAAAATTTTTCTGGACATTCAAAGGACTACAAATCTTGTGTATTTCTCCCAGATCATCAGCAGATTATCAACTCCATTGTTCACTTTTTAAACATGAATTATCCCTTCACTGGATTTTTTCATCCAAATGAGCTCTCTAACACGTAACTTTAAACTAGAGTCTAATTTTAGTTTGGGTATTCAGCTCAAGAACTAAAGAATTGCCACTTCTGGGTTAGGCCAAGGATTCATTCTGCCCAAATTACTAACTCTGACAATGACTTCAAGAAACATAGGGTAGGGGGAGATAAAGCATCAGTGCAGAGTGGCGAGGTGGGAGAAGCAGGGGCTATAATGGGGGCAGAGAAAACAACCATCATCGCCAACTGCCATGTCCATGACATTTCTAGACATTACGCAAGATGAATTTACATGCCTGTATCCCTATCTGAGACCTGTTCCCACCTAGGCCTGATTATGTGAGGTAATGGTAAAATCATAGATGGTGGGCATTGCTATAGAGCACCTTAGAGAGAGTTTTCTATAGGGAAACTAAAGTGCAGATAATTTTTAAGAACTTTAAAAAATATTAATTGTAGCTGTTATCAAAGTAATATAAGCATATCAATAAAAAAGTATGGAAAGGCCTTGAAGCAATAGCTTCCCTCCCCTCCCCTCCCAAGCCTTCGGTCACACTCCTTAGAGGCAAATACTTTAGCTGAACTGCAGTTTCCTTTTGTGTTTGCCTCTATAATTCTACAAGACATGCTTATGTAATCATTTCTTGATTTCCATTTATGGACATAGGCTATTACTTGCTGGCTCTGCTAGCGGACTAGAAGAACAATACCGGGTAGAAGATACGAACAAGAACAGTGGAGCCAGACTGCGTGGGCTCAGCGCTTGAGACCACCCCTTTCCAGCTGTGTGGCTTTGAACCAGTTACTTTATATATCTCACGTGCCTTGTATGTTTGATGCATGAGAGCTATACTCATTGGGTAGTTGTGAGAGTCAAATGAATGAAAACATATAAAGCATCTAGAACGGCTTCAGTACACAGTGAGTGTCAATCAACACAAGCTGTTTTTATTTTTAATTAATAATTTTTGTTTTTTAGAGACAGGGTCTCACTCTGTCACCCAGACTGGTGTGCAGTGGTGCCATCACTGCAGCCTCCAGCTCCTAGGCTCAAGTGATCCTCCCACCGCTGCCTCCTGAATCGCAGGGAGTACAGGTGTGAAGAGGCTATTTTCAGATGTGAGTTTAGCAGTTATGCGCCACTCCCTGGCCTTATGTTCCATTCTCCCAATACCATTATTGACAGGTAAATCTCTAGTGAGTGAATATGTTATTATCACCTAAAACTACTTATGAATAACAAGCTCTGAGACTCCTGCAGTTACATTTCCATTCTTGACTAATGTATTGAGTTTTTTTTTTCCTCAGAAAATACTTATTCCCCCAAATTAGTAGCACCTTCATCGATTTTTAAAAATTTTTAAACATTTTCATGACACTTGCTATTTGAAATATTCCTAACCAACGTCTACTTACATTAAAAGGTTAAAATCATGGCCTGGTAAATGCTCTTTTATTTAGAAGGTTCTGTTTTGTGACTTCCATGCCCTCTTCCTTCTTGTTAATTTCCTCATTTTATGAGAGCATATTTCCCAGTAACCTTCACAGAAAGTGTTAGGGGAATATTCATTTTTGGCAGCAAGAGTTGCCTTTTTTTCTATCATCACACTTGACAGACAGCTTGGGGTATATGTGGAATTCTAGATTGAACATCATTGTCTTCAGAATGTTGAAGGTGATATTTTCCAACTTGAAAAAGAATTGATTACTGATTAGTGGTCTTTGGTTTTAACCTGTTTTTATTCTTCTGAAATCCTGTAAAATCTTTATCCTCCGTGACTCCTTATAATAATGTGGCAGATTTTGTTTGTTTGTTAATTCATTGTATTTGATACTTGATGAATCATTTACATTTAAAAACTCATGTTCTTCGATTCTAGAAAACTTTCTTGACTTGTTTCTGTGATAAATTTCCTCCTGTTCCCCTGGTCACGGTGGCTCATGCCTTTAATCCCAGTGCTTTGGGAGGCCGAGGCGGACAGATCACCTGAGGTCAGGAGTTCAAGACCAATCTGACCAGCATGGAGAAACCCCATCTTTACTAAAAATAAAAAATTAGCAGGGCATGGGTGATGCACGCCTGTAATCCTAGCTACTCAGGAGGCTGAGGCAGGAGAATCGCTTGAACCCGGGAGGCGGAGGTTTCGATGAGCTGAGATCACAGCAGTGCACTCCAGCCTGGACAACAAGAGAAAAATTTTGTCTCAGAAAAAAAAAAAAAAAAAATTCCTCCTGTTCAATTTCTCCATCCTCTTTATGGAACTCTTAATAGTTAAATAATGGACAGCCTGCAGTGATTTTTCTAACTTTTTTCTTTTTATCTGCCATCTTTTTTGTTCTTTTTCTGGCTAATTTCCTCAGCTTTATGCTCTGATTCTTCCACAAGAGCCTCCTGTTTCTGCAATCAGGTATTTTATTTTCAAGGAGGCTTACATATTCTCTGACAGTTTGCTTTTACTTAACATCCTGTTCTTATTTCATGGCCTTGGTGTGGACAAGGACTCACTGAGGTTTTAAAGAAACTTATTTATCCACCCAGTTTTGTATGATGGTGATTGCAGTTCTGCATGTGACCCTCCACTTTATAAATTAGA